CAATCATGTCCCTCGAATATGAGACACTTTAGCAATGACCCTTCGATAAAAAAGATCGTAGTCCCTCGATGACCCTCGATGTTGCCTTCGATAAAACAATCTCGTCCCTTACATGCATTAGTAACCCTGAGCCTGAGGACATGCATTATGAAAACACACACAACTCAGCTTTAAGATATTTTCACAAAATCCTAGCTCACACCCTTTTTGGTAAAGCAGAAAACATTACCACTCTTTCTAGAGCTGAGCTTTTTATCATGTTCTGTGCTTTGCAAAACCGCCCCATAAATGGAGCTACATTTATGCTAGCAAACTTTCACCGTCTTGCGAGAGCGGTACATGAACCCATTCTCATAGGCGTCTTAGTAACCATGATATTTAATGCTATCGGGTTAAGACAACAACTGCTGAACCTTGTCCCTCAGGTTAGATTTTAACCTATAAATATATATAAATATATATTCTATTGTGTTGTCTTTAGCAAATTCATTCTTTCATATTTGTTCACTCTGTGATCAATCTTAAACATAAATATATCTTTTCTCCATTTAGGTTAAGTCTGAACACTTCCTTTGCTATCTAATTTTTTCTTCTACTAAATCAGGTCAATTATATTTATATTCTTCTTTAATTTCCTCTTCTCCTAAATCTAATGGTTGATTTATCTTTTAATTTAAATAATTATTTCTGGGTTGCATCAGGCAGAAGACTTATTGAAAATTCCACAGAAAATAAAATCCATGTAATAATCTTTGAATCATCGTTAAATTTTCACAATTGAGATATTTCTATAGAATAGCTTTTACATTTGTAATATATTAAAATAGAGTCCCAATATTTTATAAACAAAGTTATTATTAAGCAAAAAAAATAAATCATAAAATAATAAGTTTATAAAGAAATCCATAAATATGAAAAATTGCCGGGTAAAGGGAGTGGCAACGTGATAGAAAGAAACCCTTTGAGCTTATTTTGTTGTGACCGCCAAATAGTTTTGCTGAAGAAACCCTTTTTCATATAGTTTCTCAAAATCAAAACCCATTCCTTTTTGCGGTGAAAGTTTTATATGATGTTGCGACAGAATCATCCAAAGAAGAAGCTTCAAGGAACCAGGTTTACGCTAACTAGATACGCTATCATCATCTTCAACTTACTTATTTTAATTCAAGCCTTAGGGTTTGTATGCTACCAAGTGTTGGTGCAGGTGTCCGACACCAACGCAGAAATGGACACGCCTTTTTTGAGAGTTGTTTGGATTGTGTTATTTAAGCTTATCTATTTGAATAAGACTGTTTGGCAGGGTTTATGAAAACTATACATCACATTTTCACTAGTTATTTTCAGCTGATTTCGACACTCTCCGTGACAGCTTAACAAATAGCTTACAGTTTAAATAATAACTGTTTGGTTTTAGTTTACTTTCTGTTATAGAGAATACCTTATACTAGTACATATAAGCATTTTATGACGAGCACTTAATTAAGTTGTTTATCCAAATAAGCCCTTATTTGGTCAAGGTTCAGCTTAATCAGGTTATGATTGTGGATTTTGATATTGAGTTAATATTCTTGACAAGGAACACCTCGTTGAATATATATGAAGGTTGGCTTAAGGTTCTATGATAATGAAATTGTCATATGTGCATTAAATAGAGGCCTATAATGTTTGACATCTGCAGTGCTGTTTTTGGGACCTATGTTTGGCCAGCTGTGGAATATGGATGAACAATGTACACAACTCGCCAAGGAATGGGCCCGCTACTCAAGAGAATGCAGAAAATATGAAAGATAGAAACTGGTAGTGAGTTCACTGATAAGGAGAGATTATCAGACACAGCTAAGAGGAACTCTGGTGTAGTCAGTAACAAAGTCAGGGAAATTCAAGTAAGTTTCATTCTATTTAAACTATAAAATTGTAATTCTTAAATTGAAAGAGTGCCGGGAAAATTATTTGATACAAGACTCCACCGACTCTGAAAATCGTTTTCTTTCTCTCCTTATTACGCTTTTTAACAGTCTTCCATCACATTTCATTTATAATGGAAGTACTTTGTTCAATCTGCTATAGAGATTAACTACATTTTCTTGTTTAGAACTTTTATTTCACATATCTCATTATTGGGCATTTTATGATATTTGATTTGCAACATATAATCATGCAAACATACAAAAACCTTTCCAACCACATCTTTTCAATGATTAGTGTTATAACATGTCAAAAGTTGTGGGGAGTGCCTAGTACAAAGTAAGTCATTTAAAAAACCTTTACAACCACATCTTTTCAATCATCACTTTTATAACACGTTCCATCTTAATAGTATATATACTATACAAATTTATATCCATTAAGTCCCACATTGGATAGATCATCACACAAACAAGTCTTTATAAATGTTTTACATGATAGTTAGTTCGCCGAGCTGAGTAGCGTCAGCTTGTGACCCATGTGGGGGCACCAAGGTGATGGAACATGGCTAAGGCTTAACAGGATGGTCTGATGGTTGCACCATGCTGGCCTGCCCGCTCCAAGTTACGAGTTGACCCACGGGACTTGTGCGAAGGCATGGGTCTTGTGGGTCTTAGACAGGAGGGTATAGCGTGAGGCTGGTTTCACAGAGCAGCGAACACTTCCTACTCCTGACAGTGGAGGGATCACGGGCCGCTGCACCTCCGGTCCACAACACCTGGTGAGCCTAGCCCTTGAACCATCTCTTTTTTTGTTGGTTCATTAGGGGGTGCCAGCCACCAAGCAACAATAAGATTATTAGAACAGCCATGTTAATTTGTTGTTGTTTTCTAAATAGATTCCACCTGACATTCTATGCATTTTCTACCCTTGGAGAAGCTCTAAATTCTGGTGAGCCTAGCCCTTGGATCACGGGCCGCTGCACCTCCGGTCCACAACACCTGGTGAGCCTAGCCCTTGAACCATCTCTTTTTTTGTTGGTTCATTAGGGGGTGCCAGCCACCAAGCAACAATAAGATTATTAGAACAGCCATGTTAATTTGTTGTTGTTTTCTAAATAGATTCCACCTGACATTCTATGCATTTTCTACACTTGGAGAAGCTCTAAATTCTGGTGAGCCTAGCCCTTGGATCACGGGCCGCTGCACCTCCGGTCCACAACACCTGGTGAGCCTAGCCCTTGAACCATCTCTTTTTTTGTTGGTTCATTAGGGGGTGCCAGCCACCAAGCAACAATAAGATTATTAGAACAGCCATGTTAATTTGTTGTTGTTTTCTAAATAGATTCCACCTGACATTCTATGCATTTTCTACACTTGGAGAAGCTCTAAATTCTGGTGAGCCTAGCCCTTGGATCACGGGCCGCTGCACCTCCGGTCCACAACACCTGGTGAGCCTAGCCCTTGAACCATCTCTTTTTTTGTTGGTTCATTAGGGGGTGCCAGCCACCAAGCAACAATAAGATTATTAGAACAGCCATGTTAATTTGTTGTTGTTTTCTAAATAGATTCCACCTGACATTCTATGCATTTTCTACACTTGGAGAAGCTCTAAATTCTGGCTTTTGAGGACTTTAAGGTGATAACTATAATAACTCTACAAGTTACAATATCATATTTGCTAAATAAGCTGCCTAATGCTGTTGTTGTTTAACAGAGAATCAGAACTAATCCTGACCTTGCAAATGCAAGGGCATCCCCAGAATTCGACCCGTTATTGAAAAGATTCCATGAATCATTTATCAATGCCATCAAATCAATTTTTGGAATATTTATTAAGAAATAACCCCTTTGCGTCGACACAAGAAAACAACCGGTTTAGCTCTAAGGAATTGATTGAGCAATATCATTCCATCACATTTGATTTCACCGTGTATATTTTGTAGTTAATTATAGGTCTCAATTTTTTTGTTGCCACCTTTGCAGTATCTTGTTTTATTTACTAGTATGATATACATAAGAAACTTTATGATCAATAAAATTGTCCATTTCCATTAATACTATTAATGGCACCAATCACAGCTCAATAGTTTTTGCTTCCCTCTATTCTATTATATGTTGTTTCTTTGGTTCACTCTGACGCCAAGACATGAATAGGAGACTTGAAATTCAAGCCTCTTTTATATGGTCCATCCAATTTGCCTCCTGTAGTTTGAATAAAAATATATGTGCATGGTAATGTTACTTGGACATGGTTTGAGCATGTTATATTGTTTTCCTTGTATTATTTTTTGTTTATGTGATGCTTATTTATGTAATGTCACAGGGACTGTAATTTCCCATTCTCTCTTTGAGCTTTTAAGATTATGGAGTTTGTTATTGCATTAATATTTTTGAGAAGAATAACCTTTGAACACATATGACTTTAGTACTTTGAGATTAGTGATATAATATCATGCTCAAATAGTGCATTATAAGCTTTTCAAATAATCCATTTAGCTAATTATAATAATGCATTAGAAGCCTTTCAAATAATCTATTTAGCTTCTTATATGACTTTTCACCTATAGTCATGACTAATGGCTAATAATCACATTCATTATAGTGATGATTAGTCTCAACTTTTTGAATATGACTTTGATACACTTTGAGATCAATGATATCATTTCATGCTCAAAGGAGGTTATTAGAGGCCTAATTTAGTGAATATTGTATGACCAAGTTATTGTACATTACATGAGGTGTCATTTTATATATATGAACTTCAAAATTCTTTTTTAAAACGTAAAATAGTGTACTTTATGTTTGATCCATAATGTTTGAGACATGACTAAATCAAAATATTCAACATCCACAATGCTGTTTTTGGTTGAAACAAAGGTTCATGCGTTGAGAAAATTCCAAAAAGTTCAATAAATTCTGATTTGAAGATTTGTGATAAAGATCATTAGTCATAGAAGAATTCTCTTTGGTTATAAATATGTAATGCTCTTGGTCATTATTGTTATCTTCATCACTGCGGTTTTGATGTGTAGAAGCTTCAGGATTCAAAGGGCAAACAAGTTACAAAAATGTCAAAAGGAAGCAAGTAAAAAAATGGAAACTAGCATCTTTTCACAAGTGGATATTGATGCTGATGAAATAAGTCATTTGGACGAAGATAATTTAATCGGCCATGGTGCTCATGGAAAGGTTTATCGAATCACGCTGAAGAAAAACAGGATGGTTTGTGAAGCAATTAGAGAAAGGTGATGGTTGATGATTTTAGCTGCTTGATGAAGATTATGAGACAAAAATTGCTGATTTTGGTGTTGCTGAAAACTCTCAGACGGGTTTTAGCTTTTTTGCTGGTACACATGGTTATATTTCTCGAGGTATGAAATTGTAATATAGATTAGGACTGAAGAATTAATGGCATCTCATTGATATCCATTACTTTCCTGGATTTAATACTGAATTACATATAATCATGCAAAAATACAAAAGTACATCCAAAAATACAAAAAGTACAAAAATACATGCAAAAATGCAAAAATACAAAAAACGTAATGTTGTGCTGGATTAAGTAAATATTTTCCTTTATTACTCAATTGCTTATTAGAATAAGAAATAAAGGATTGGTGACTTGTTTCTTGTAACGACATGATAGACATGACATTCTTATATGAAATTGTAATCTGCAACGCCTAGTTTGAGGGAAAAAATGCTTTAATTTTGAAGCATCCAATTTTCTAAGAGTATATCTAGATTAGAATAATAAAAATAATGGTATCTTCCTGATAATCCTAATGTCCATTACTTTCTTGTTTAAATGCTGAAGGAATGCTAAGTACGAGGAAGCATTAGAGAGATTTGAGTCAGTTTTGGGAACAAAGCAGGAGCCCGATGAAGCAGCAGTGGCAAGTTATAATGTTGGTTGTTGTTACTCTAAGCTAAACCAGGTAGGTATATATGTTTGTTCACTTTACAAATTGTATGTGCTACATTCTACTACTTTGTCATTGGTTTTGGATATTCACTTTTTGAGTGTCCAGTTATCCCTCTATATATGTAGATTAAATCCCTCAACCACATTTTTCAATGATTAGTGTTATGACATGTCAAAAGTAGTTGGGGAGTACCGAGTACAAAGCAAGCCATTTAACAAACCTTTACAACCACATCTTTTCAATGATTAGTTTTATAACATGTTCCATCTAAATATTATATATACTATACGAATTTATATCCATTAAGTCCCACATTGGCTCGAACATCACACAAAAAAGTGTTCATAAATGTTTGACATGCTTGTTAGTTCGCCGAGCTGAGTAGCGCTAGCTTGTGACCCATGTGGGGGCACCAAGGTGATGGAACACGGCTAAGGCTTAATAGGTTGGTCTGTTGGTTGCACTATGCTGGCCTGCCCGCTCCAAGTTGCGAGGTGAGCCACAGGACTTGTGCGAAGGCACGGGTCTTGTGAGTCTTAGATAGGAGGGTATAGCGTGAGGCTGGTTTCACAGAGCAGCGAACACTTCCTACTCCTGACAGTGGAAGGATCACGGGCCGCTGCACCTCTAGCCCACAACACCTGGTGAGCCTAGCCTCTGAACCATCTCTTTTTGGTGGTGGGTGGGATTCATACATTTTTTAGCTTAAATCTCCGATTTACAAACACCATGGATCCTTACAGTTTGGCATAGTCCACAACACCACGGGCCGCTGCACCTCTAGCCTAGCCTCTGAACCATCTCTTTTTGGTGGTGGGTGGGATTCATACATTTTTTAGCTTAAATCTCCGATTTACAAACACCATGGATCCTTACAGTTTGGCATAGTCCACAACACCACGGGCCGCTGCACCTCTAGCCCACAACACCTGGTGAGCCTAGCCTCTGAACCATCTCTTTTTGGTGGTGGGTGGGATTCATACATTTTTTAGCTTAAATCTCCGATTTACAAACACCATGGATCCTTACAGTTTGGCATAGTCCTCAACACCACGGGCCGCTGCACCTCTAGCCTAGCCTCTGAACCATCTCTTTTTGGTGGTGGGTGGGATTCATACATTTTTTAGCTTAAATCTCCGATTTACAAACACCATGGATCCTTACAGTTTGGCATAGTCCACAACACCACGGGCCGCTGCACCTCTAGCCCACAACACCTGGTGAGCCTAGCCTCTGAACCATCTCTTTTTGGTGGTGGGTGGGATTCATACATTTTTTAGCTTAAATCTCCGATTTACAAACACCATGGATCCTTACAGTTTGGCATAGTCCAAAAAGGAAAAGCAAACAATACTCAACCTCTATTAAAAATTTCAGACATTAAGTCTCGTTACTACAAACTTGCTATTATATTAGAATAAAAGTTGAAGATCACACTCTCATTTTTGGACTCTTAATTTTAAATTTTCACTTAGTGATTAAACATCAACATATAACTCACATTTGACAGCAGAAACTACTTTGTAAATTAGCTTGTTGGCTTATAATATTTTCTATACTTGTGCTCCTAATTGGTAGTTTGGTTGAAGTGAAAACTGTTTTCATGTTCACGTGTTTATCATTTGTCCAAACAAAATCATTTCTAACAATCTCTAGAAGCTGGTGATTTTTTTTTGCAACTTTTCTGTCTAAAATTTTGAAAATGACTTTGATACACTTTGAGGTTGTTTGGTCAAGTTATTGTCCTGTGTACATTTTGTATATATGAACTTCAAAATTCTATTTTGAAAAGTAAAACCGTGTGCTTTTGTTTGATCCATAATGATTAAGTCAAAATGTTCAACATCAACAATGTACACCATATTTTGGGACTGAATCAAAATGCTTGAGATATGATAAAAATTTCCGATGCAAAACTGTCTTAAGGAAAAAAGAATTGAGGGAAAATGATTTGAGAGAAGGCTATTATGCGAGTAAAACTACAAGACTCAAAAAAATGTTTTTTTCTTGAATTGTTATTTCACATATGCCATTATTGTGCATTTTTATGAAATTTAGTTTGCAATTGAAACATATAACCATGCATACCTACAAAAATCATAGTGCTGGATTTGGTTAATCATTTCTTTTATTACTTAATTGTTTATTAAAATAAGGATTAAAGGATTGGTGTCTTTGTCCTAATAAAGACAAGATAGACATGGCAAAAACAAAACATTTTCCATCAGAAATTACAATCTGCAACACCTAGTTTGGGAGGAAAAATCAGAGCCTGATGAAGCAGCAGTGGCAAGTTATAATTTTGCTTGTTGTTACTCTAAAGCTAAACCACGTCCGTTGGAAACTAATCATACTGAGACTAAGTGGTTTACCTTAATATCAAACAACTGGTCCAAAATTTGCACAGAAACCAAACTTTATTGGCCAACACTATTAAAAATATAAAAAAAAACCATTAAAATTATGATGTAAAAAGTATTTGAAGATTGGAATAAGAGGGGGCTGTAAAAAGTACTTGAAGATTGGAATAAGAGGGGGCCGCGCGAACGCAGGCCCCCATTGCAACAAATTATGATGTAGGCTCCACCACTTGGGTAGACCTTAGGTTAGCACCCCTCCTAAGTGCAATGGAGGTCACTCTCCTAGGCCATGATCCTTCATGATCAACCATTGACCCCATCCAGGTAAGTAAGTTGTGATGAAGGTATTCGAGTTCTTTTATACTCTTGCTTCTCTCAATACCTTTCACCTTCTTTCGACGTGGGACTCAACTACCCGTAGGCAAAGTATTTCCCAACTTGTGTAAGATTGATCGAAAAAAGGGTGCAAGTTGCTAGTGATTGTCAGTGGTCTAAATTGGAGACAGCAGAGCAGGTGCTGCTGCAGTGTAATAAAAGCATTTAGACTGCTGCTAGGTAGGAACATTGGAGAGAAAATCTGTCACATGTCAAAGGAGAAAGGGAGAGTATCTTTGCTATGATATTATGGAGTTTGTGGAAGAGTAGGAACTAATCAACTACCAGTAAGCAATGTATTTCCTAGGCCTTTGATAGATCTTGAGGACATCTTCCCCGGCATTCCAACTATTGCTCAATCGCTTTTTATATCCACTACTTTGTTATATGTTGGATACTAATATAGTCTGCTTCTAATCATTCCTTTCAAGTTTGACATTATGCTTCCAAAAACTCAATCAAAAATATCAGAAAGTTATGAGTTGAAAATACTCTAGAGTCCATGGTACTTACAAATCAATATACCCTATTGATTACTCGAAAACTCGAAGAAATTAAAGATTGGATATGACTAGCAAGGAGGATATGTACCCTTGATAATCACCTAAATTAGGGAAGGATTAAAGATCAAGAAATACTGCCTAGTTCGTTTTTTAGTTAGTACTTGAAACGCAGAAGGTAGGTTTCAGCTTTGCTTTCTATTTTTTATTAGTTAGCTTGTATAACATTATGAGCAGTACTATGACATTCCCATTCCTTTATGTCTCCATTAGGAAGTGGTTCATTTTGACTTAGTATTATAACACAATATAGCACACAGTTTTCTCATTCCATTTCTGCTATTAATTAAGATCCGTGAAAATTGAGTATCTTCCTCTCTTCAATTCCTTTTTCTTGTGTGAATTTGTTTGATATAGTTTCTCTCGTTTTCTTTGTTCCAGTGAAATCTTGTGTCGACATTCTGTTTTAGATCGAGTTTACGACTATCTCCTTGACATGATTTCTTGTTCAAGTTTTTTTCCTAATTATAGCTTGTTCCAGTGAAATATTGTGTCGACATTCTGTTTAAGAAAACATATGGATAGAAACAGGATCAAAAAATAATATAACATTAAAGAAAATATTGTGGATCTAGTAAGAAGGACATAAATTTGAACTAGGTTAGGTGGGGTGTGCCAGGCTATTGCAACAGTGCAACGCAAAAGCGACACTTAAGAGACCCAATAGCAAGCCATTGTAGTGGTCTCTCCCCCTCAAGAAATAAATTTAATATCGTGTGGACCATTGGCCCACATATCAGATATTAAACTGATAAGAACAGATACTACACTTGATCTTAGCCAAAAGGCCGAGAAAGGTATGAATTTAATGTCATGCTTGTTGTCTTTTTTATATCTTACATATTTTTTCTTCTTTGATAACTCAGCGATGTGGGACTTTAATACTATACCTTGGAGTTTGCTCAATACTTTTGTAATTTGCTCTTATGTAACATTAATTAAACCAAGAGGAAGACTGTCTGGTTCATATACATTTTTTGTTTAAAGTGATTTTGTTCATGCAAAGAAGTGGATCTCATTTTTTGCAATAACAGTATTAAATAGGTAACAACTCTTGTCGTCTTTTTTGGTTTAATTAATAATTTTGAAATATAACATTTGTTAGAACAAGACCGAATCTAGAGTTTCCTTAAATGCCTCAAAACTAAAGCAGTAAAATCTCGGCAAAAGTTGAATTGTTTCCCTAATTAAGTTCAATTTAACAAAAACCAAGTCCTAAGTCCTTAAATAAGTGGCGACTGAAAATTATTAGGATTTTTCTCAAATCAATGCACATAGTTTAGTGAAGATAGTTTTGACATTTGTTTAAATCCCACAGCTGTCATTCCTTTGTTTTTTAAATTTTTAAAACAACACAAAATAATTTATCTATACAGTGTCTTAGTAACTATGTTGGGGCGGAGCAAGCAGAATGATGCAGGCTATCTTGGAAAATATTTACTTTTAATCAATGTCTTGCCAGTCAAATATCTTATGTCAAAATTTGGCACTGGTAAAATTTAGTTCTTAAGGTTGCTAATGCCATTGGTTAAAAATAGAGTATTTTCAATAAAGTAGAGTGAATTGTTTAGCTCAAATATGTTTGAGTTAAGAGTTGAAAGGAATTAGAAGACCCGTGTTCAAAATCGGGCATTGGATAAAATACTAAGATAACAATGGCATCTGTTTATTTACAAAATAATTATAATAAAGTAACAATGAATTTAAGATGCACTTTCGATCCGTTTAAAAAGATTTGATGAATTATTTATTAAGAAGAATACAATCAAAGTCATCAAATCATTTCTTCAAATATTCTGCTTAACACTTCTGTATTAAATGAACCAAGAGGGATATTGTCTGGTTCGCATACATTTTCTGCTTAAAGTGATTTTATTCATACAGAGAAGTGGCTCTCATTTTTCCCAACAACAAAATTAAATAGGTAACAAATATTGTTGTCTCTTTTTGTTAACTGATAATTTTGAAATATAACATTTGTTAAAATTGAATCTAGATGTTCCTGAAATGTTAAAAACTTACGCAGAAAAACCCCTTGTCAAGTTATGGTTTCCTGAAATATAACATTTGTTAGAACAAGACTGAATTTGATAATGTATGGTTTCCAAGTGGAGAGACTCTATGAAACAACTTGGTGGACTTGCCGGCTTTGTTTTCAATAATAGGTTTCTCAATTTTGTAATCACCTATTTTTGCAATAATAGTTAAAGTATGAGTGTGGAAAAAGTATTTCATATTTCAAACTTGTGATTTACAATAGAAGAATAAACTAGCATGAAATGAATTATAGTTACTCATACGAAATCAGATTCCCCGAGTCATCACATGTCACTTGAATTATAGCTACTCACTCGAAATCAGATTCCCCGAGTCACCACATGTCACATAAGCATGCGAATTTAGTTAAAAATCATCCTTAAAATGACTTTAATAATATATTTTAATGATTTGTTCAGTGGTACTACTTGTGCTCTCATGGATTGTTCTTTTGATTCTGCTATACTTTCTTTTTTTGTTTGTTTTACTCTTCGTTGTTTTTGTGGCTTAGTGATGAAGGCGAGTATGAGAATCTGATAGCCTTTTGGTGAAAACGGTTTTGAAGGAGTTAAGTAATATTTTGATGATTGTGGCTGAGTTTCTAGGGGGACTCAATGAACGTGTTGAGAAGGTGAGTTACAATTTCAATCCAACAATTACAATTTCTACACACAAGTCTGTATTTCTTGAAATTCGTGATATTCAGCAGTCTCCATTGTTTTCTAATGTAGGGAACAATATGCATACAAGGAGTTGCACTAGACTTTAAGAAAAGATTAATAAAGCCTGAAGCAGAGAAATATAACGATGTTATATTTGATACAAAATCCTTTGAAACAAAAGTTAATTTTAGATTGCTTCAGATCAATAATCTGAGTTTGAAAGACAAGTTTCTTCTGGATGAATTGAAATGGATACAATGGCAAGGTTGTCCTTTGAAATTCATTCCTTTGGACACATTGCCACATGAACTGGCTGTCCTTGATCTCTCAAATGCCGAGAAAATTTAAAGCTTGCGGGGATTGGAAAGTCACAACAATGTACGTGCTTTAAAGATAAGGACATTTGTTATGTTGGGGCATGGGTTCAAACCTGTGGTGCCTAGCTTCTCCGCACTTTGTGCATGTAAGTTTCAGCGCTAGGATTTTTTACACAATATATAAAGCAATTCATGTAAACATTTCCCAGGAAAGGGAGTAGCAAAATCATAGAGCTCTTATTTTCTTCCCACCACCTATTGGTTTTCTTTAAGAAACCCTTTTTCTTATAGTTTCTCAAACACCCATTTTCTCAAAATAAAAAACATTCTTTTTTTGGGTCAAAACTTATTTGATGTTGTCACAGAAGCATCCATAGGAACCATATGAGGAGTATGAGGTAGAGATTGACCAACCTTACATTGATGTTAGGGTTTGTTTGTTTGAATTGTGTTATTTAAGCTTATCTATTGAATAAAGACTTGCGAGACTGTTTGAAAGCGTTTATGAAAACTATATATCACATTTTCAGAACTTGTTTTCGACACGCGCTCCATGATAGCTTAAAAAATAGCTCATAGTTTAGATAATAACACGCGAGACTGGGAATACCTTATACATAACCATTTTCATCTTCTGTTTTAAGGTGTAGCGTATCCGTAGGTCAATCGAACAGGCTCAGGCATTGGTGTTGCAACAATATATTCTAGTTAGGTTGTAGATATATATATTTGGAGGCTGTGGTGTTTGACAATTTGGTTTGGTGAAGTTTGTTCTGTTGTTGTCTGTTGTTGACTAGCATACTTCAATTCCGCTTTGATGTAATTTGAAGTGGTGTTTATAACAGACAAATTTGTTCTTTTGGTATTGCTTATGCCTTGTTTTAATTAATTCTTTTTTTGGCCTTTTAAAAAAATTTGTCATAGGTTTTGATGTAAATCAATAAAACAAACTATTAATTATTTGTAAAATACGTTCTTAATTAATTAATACAAAAATAACTCATCAAGTAATTCTTGATAAAAAAACATGACGTACAACAAGATTATAATAAATTATTATTAAGTAAACATTTGATCACTTACCACTTACATATCAATAAATAATTAGTTTATAAATAATCTTTTTTTCAAAGTAACCTTGTTTTTCGACTAAAATACCAAACTAACCTTGTTTTTCCACTAATTTTCAAAATACTCAAGTTTTAAACAAAATAATTCATTTGTAGCACTGAAGTCATATAAATTGACGGAAGGCAGACAAATTGAATCGGCACTTTCTATAAGTTAAGTCAATCAAATTGGTTGCACTATGAGTGGTGTACAGAGGAGACGCCAATTTATCTGGCGTTTAAGTGTTAAAAATATTATATTTTAATAGTTATCATTTAGTATAAATATATGTGTGCTTTCAACCATTGTTTTTCACATCTCTTCTCATTTTCTTTTTAATATTTTTTTCATCCGCTCTAACCTGAATAGTAAAAGACAAGTATATCATTTAGTATAAATATATGGTGAAAGAATTAAAAAATTTAAGAGACTTGTTTCGTACATCTCTATTGCGGATGACAATGATTATATCCAGTGTATGTAATGATAATAATGTTAAGATATGATGTATGCACCAGATAATATTGTTTTGATTTTTGTATGCTCTTAGATATGTCGTGGTGTTAAGTCTTTTTATTTGTTGTCTGTGTTGTTGTTTGAGGCGTGTCTATGTTCGTTTTGTTGTAATCAAAAGTTGTTATCTATGTTAAATTCCAAGGTTACAAAAAATTTAACAACAAAATAAATTACCATCTAAAACTTGTTTCAACATTGGGACAATATTTTTGTGTGTCTGGCCTGACGATATACCATTTTCTTTTTAATTTGTCAGTCGTATTCATTTCGATTTTAATACGTGTGTTGTTGGGACGATTATTTTTCTTCCTTCTCATATTTTTCTTGTGCCAAATTACATATCCTTCATATGTAGGCCAATATTCCTCTTTTGCTATCACTGGGTAGCTATTGTCGTATACATTGAATAAATTTATGACTTTGTTAACGACGAATAGATGCAAGAAAACGTCATGTTGATGTTGGAGTAAAATATACAACTCAATATAGTTGAACCCAAAATATTCATAACTAACAAACAAATTCTAAATATCTTCATCATCTCGAACCTTTAGCTAGAAAAAATTGACGTGACTGTTTTAAAAAATACAGAATTTTGATATATAATTTGTGATACTGGACCAAACCTTAACTTTGACTGTATTCTCTATTTCAAATGCAAGAAATTTGATTTTCATATTAATTACAAACTGAGTAATATCAATATTTTAGAAACCAAACTCAGATACATCATAGACATATGTCTCTCCATTATTGTGAGGATTAATAATGTATGTGGATGCATAAGACATATTGAGTTTTTTGGTTTGAGATTGGTCTAGAATTGGTTTGGGAGAGGTTTAATATAGTTGAATATTACACGTATGCGCTAGCTTCAAAAAAATATACATTATCGTCAATTCATTTGGCTTGTTACTTTTGCATGCATGTAAAATGTAACACCCCAAAATAATTAGATTATTTATTTAATTATTTAATTGATTTATGATGAGTATTTGTGACGTATTAATGAAGTATATGTGATGTTGTGATGAACATGATGTTTGATATGATATTTTGTGTGGTGTATGATGGGGTAGTGAGAATTAAGATGATATTGAGTATTTGTAGGATAGTTTGAATAATTAGAATATTTAGTTGGAAACTATTTTAATTAATTAAATAGAATAATAATAAGAGGTAGAGACTATGAGGACAAGGTGATAATATTGTGATGTTAGTGAGAGTAAGATGGGAAGATCATAGAAAGGGTTCAAGGGTTAAACAAAGAATATAAGGAAAAGTGTCTCATTATGTGCGAGTAGTAGTCAGGCTTTTCAAAAACATAATCTTTCCAAGATTCGGTGTACCGAGACTCGTCATTAGTGATGGTGGCTCCCATTTCATTTCCAAAATCCTAGAAAAATTATTAGCGAAGTACGGAGTCCGACATCGTGTCGTAACACCTTATCATCCATAAACAAGTGAGCAAGTAGAGGTCTCCAACAGAGAAATAAAGCAAATCTTAGAAAAAATTGTAGCAACCTCTATGAAAGATTGGTCATCTAAGTTACATGACGCATTATGGGCATATAGGACAGCATATAAAACTCCGATTGGAACCACACCATTTAAACTAGTTTATGGAAAATCATGTTGTTGTACCCCAAAATTTGCCCTCCCATTTCTCGTTCAAGATGCTATCCTAGGGTTTCTCAAATACTCAAAATGGCTTAGGATTTAATCAGACAGATTCTCTTCCTAGGCATTGAGTCAGCAACTAGGGTTTGGTATTTCTCAAAGAAAATTGAGTCTTCAAGGTTTCAAATGGTCTTCATGGTTCTTCAGGTATTTTCAAAAATGTTCGTGTCAAGTTTCAAACTTCGTATTGCAAGTTTGCTCAGTCGATAGTTCAGATAACTGAAAATCAACTGCACTGATCAAAAGTCAACCTTTTCAAGATCAAATTCAAATAATGTCAAGAGCTGATTACGTGAGAAAGATCATCAGAAATTCGAATATTTTAGAGGTCATTTTGCAAATTTGACCTACTCACAAGAAACTCGTGTCCAATTTGTGAGGTTCGTAATTTCTTCAATTCTCAACAACCTGAGGAATTTCTTTTTGCAAAGTATCATAAATAGCATTGTCTATGAGAATTACTTTAAAGATTGGAGTCAAATTATGCTCATAAGGTTTTGAAATTTATCAAAAAAATGTTATAAGTCAATTCCTGACTTTAAAAAGTCTGGCTTCTAATTTCAATTCAAGAAGGCGTTGTTGTTATGGTGATTGGACACAAAGCATGACGCAAGACATAAGGCAGAGAAATCATTATGATCAAAACTTGGTTGTTCCTGTTTGTTTGCAAAGGCAAATTGATTTGGAATTTGATTTTAGTTTTAATTGAGAATTAAAGTAAAGTTCAGTCATTTAAAAGATCACTTGATTAAGGTTTAAAGTGAGCTAAGCTTGGAAGTAAGCCTCATTTGGATGTTGTGAAATGTGAGTTTCTTAGAGTTTAAGGAACCATCATCTTTTCAAATTTCATTGCGTGTCACGCAAGTTCGATTAGAGTGTTGAATTAAAATTCAAGAGGCAAGGAATTACAAGGACCTTTCAATCATTTGAAAATTTTAAAGGGTGATACATGGACAAGTCTTGACCTAAACATGATTCAAAGTTTACCCTTCGAAGTTCTCAAGTCCATCATCAAGTTTATTCACATAATAGGCAAAGTTTGATTCAAACTCGTCATTGTTCAAAGATTCATTCAAATCTCAAGCTACAAAAATTACAAGCAATAACAAGTTCAATTATTCGAATGTGCAATTGAGTTACAAGAAATTTCATTCACTCAAAATTTCATATTACTACATTAATTTCAAAGTTACAAGTTTGTTTTGTCATGGAGAAATTATTCTAAGGTGTTGGAAAATTCTACAAGGTTTCCTAAATCCTAATTTGAAAAACTTTGATGTCTTCTTCAAAAAACTACCAAACTCTTCGTGCCAAGCTTCACCACTTCCTTCAAGCCTATCCATGACTTCTCATTGTAAATTTCCTTGCCAAAGAAAAGGAAGATACAGTTAGCATATAAATAATGAAGGTTAAAAGCAAATTTTGTTCCTAATCTCATCATTAGGACTTGTGAGAGAAATCAGAAAAAGGGTGGTGTAGCAAAATCACAGTAGTCAAATACAAAATTCAGAAACAACAACATCACAAATCAAGGATTTAAGACCAACAAAATCCTCAACTTTGTCCTATTATTGGCCCAAAGAAATATCTTCATTTCAAATCACAAAAATATGTTTTTTGGTTCACAAAGAAAACAAATACTGTAAAAAAAAACAGACTGCATTGCTGCCCAGAAAAACTACATTGCTGCCCTGCATGCACTGTCCAAAACAGTCCATAAAAAAC